CTTGCCGGAAAGCCATTTCATGGATTCTTGTTGACAATTTTTTCTTGCTTTCCTTACAAAATGAAGTTTGGAGGTACAATTGGTTTAACTTTTAATACGACTTAACTAATAGAGAAGTATTTGAGTAAGATGCTGTAATTAAAGCTCTCATATAAAAGAGGCCTTGTACCACTATCACCCATTCTGACCAGAGACACAATAGATGGAATGGGATGGGAAATGTAGAACAAAAGTCAAATTCCTAACGAAATAAAAAGGATACTAACAGAATACTCTGAAGAACACACTTGTGGCACAGTGTGCTAAGTAAGCATTGGGCTGTTAATCACAGGTTAGCAGTTTAAACCCACCAGCCACTCCCTGGGAGAAAGATGAGAAATCTTCTATAAAGATTTACAGTCTTGGAATTACTCTGTCCTTTTGGAAAGCTATGAGTTGGAATCAGTTCCATGGCAGTGAGTTTGAATTATGTAGAAATGTATTCCAATAAATTTGAAAACCTAGAAGAAATGGACAAATTTCTAGAACACACTACCTACTTATATTAACACAGACTGAGGTAGAAAACTTGAACAGACCCAGAATAAAGCGGACATTGAACAGGTCATAAGAAAACTTTTACCAAAGGATTGGAATTCCTAAAAAAGACCAGATTTACGGAGCCGATAGAAACTAAAGGAACCCATGAAACTATCACCTCAAGATAATCTTTGAATTTGGATCTGAAACTATTTCTGTGGGTCACCTTTCAGCCAAATAATAGATTGGCTTATAAAATAAGCACACCATCATCTATGAGTAATGTGCTCCAGTAACAGTAAATAAACTACATGAGACCAAATGACCAACCTTCATCCAAAAGCAAGGAGGGGAAGGGATGCTAGATCCATGGAAACAGCAAACACAATGGAAATAATAAGAATGCTGACACACTGTAAAAATTATAGCTCATGGCACAAAACAATTTGTATAAAAGTTATTAAAGTGGGACCTAATTTTCAATGTGAACTTTCACCTAAAACACAATTAAAAAAAAAAGAAAAGAAATTAAGGCCTTGGAAATAATTGAATGGGAAAGTTCCCCCTACACCTTGGAATAAAGAATAAAAAGGAAGATTTCGGCTTTTGAAAGGTCATGGTATTTGAGACATCATTACCTAAAATAATACTTAAGGATCTTTTATATTGATTTAGTATTGGTCACTGCCTTCATCTTACCTTTCCTTAGTCCAGAGAACAATTAGATTCAGCACGAGCTCCTTTCCCTTTGAAACACTCAGAGAACCTTTATAAAGTGTTTGACATTTTTGTGGCAGTGTGCCTGTATGCATGAAGAGTAGCATAGCGTAATGGTAAAGAGAATGAGTTTTGAAGCTGCAGTGAATGAGGTGGAATCCTGACTCTGTCATTAATTAGTTATATGACTTTAGGAAGGAGCATCGTGACTCTGTAGGATAAACACTGGATGGCTAACCACAAAGTCAATGGTTCAAGCCCACCAGCCACTCAACAGGAGACAGACAAATCTTTGTGTTTCCACAAAGATTTACAACCTCAGAAACCCTATACAGGGTCACTGTGTGTCAGCACGCAAGTCTCACCTGTAAATGAGAGTAGTATTATTTGGAGCTAGTTAGTAATTGTGAAGTATTTAGAAAGGTGCCTAAACCAAACCAAAACCAAACCACTGCCATCAAGTGATTTCTGACTTACAGCTACCCTTGTTGTTGTTGTTAAGTACCGTCAAGTCAGTTCCAACCTATAGCGACCCTGTACAGGGTTTCCAAGGGTGTAAATCTTTACGGGAGTAGTAAGCCTCATCTTTCTCCCATGGAGCAGCTGGTAGTTTCGAGCCGCTGACCTTAAGGTTTGCAGCCCAATTCGTAACCACTATGCTACCAGAGCTCCTTTTTACAGCTACCCTAGTATAGGTAAAATCTTTACTGGAACAGACAGGCTCATTTTGCCCCCTCAGAGCATCTGGTAGGTTTGAACTGCCACCCTGTAGTTAGCAGTCCAGTGCTTCTCCTACAGTGCCACCAGAGCTCCATTGAAAGGTCACTGTTGTCATTGTCATCAAGTCAGTTCTGAACTCATAGTGACCCTACATAGGGTTTCCAGTACATTTTAAATCTTCATGAGAGCAGAAATCCTCTTCTTCCTCATGTAGAAAGGTGCCTTGATGTTGTTAAGTGCTGTTGAGATGGTTCCGACTCATAGCAACCCTATATAAGGTTTCCAAGGAGCGACTGGTGGGCTTGAACCGCTGACCATGCAACTCAACCTGACCTTGTGGTCAAGCACATTATCCTGTAGTGACAGGTGCCTGGTGTTAAGTGCCATCAAGTCAGTTCCAACACATAGAAACATGTATTGGTTTTCCAAGGAACAGCTGGTGAGCTTGAACTGCCAACTTTGCAGTTCCAATGACTTTGCAGTCAGGTGCATTAGCCCACAACTCCACACCATTAGTAGTAGTATTTATAATATAAGTAATTATAATTCCTCTGACCCTCCACCTTACCAAACGTGATATCTTCCTCCAGCAACTGGTCCCTCCTGACAATATGTCCGAAGTATGAGAGACGAAGTTTGGCCATCCTGGCCTCCAAGGAGCACTCTGGCTGCACTTCTTCCAACACAGATCTGTTGGTTCTTTTGGCAGCTGATGGCACTTTCAATATTCTCCTCTAACACCGTAACTCAAAAGTATCAATTCTTCTACAGTCTTCCTTATTCACTATACAGCTTTCACATTCATATGAGGTTATTGAAAATACCATGGCTTGAGTCAGGCGGACATCTTTGCTCTTCAACACTTTAAAAATGTCTTGTGCAGCAGATTTGCCTAATGCAATACATCGTCTGATTTCTTAACTGCTGCTTCCATAAGTGTTGATGGTTGATCCAAGAAGAATGAAGTCCTTGACAACTTCAATCTTTTCTCCATTGATAGGAATGTTGTTTATTGGTCCATTGGTGAGGAGTTTTGTTTTCTTTACATTGAATTCATAGGAAATGTTTTTTATCTTGTAATTCCATTTTTTCCACAAACTTTTTGAAGTTCCCTCATGGTAGCGTAGTGGTTACGAGTCAGGCTGCCAACCTCAAGGTCAGCAGTTCAAAACTACCAGCGGTTCCTAGGGAGACAGATGAGGCATTCTGCTCCCGTAAAGATTTATAGCCTCGGAAACCTGAGTCACTATTAATCGGAACCGACTCCACAGTACTTAACAACAACAACATGTCTTTATACGTGTGGTGGGTATATGTGTATATCGAGTCTGTTATATGTATTTTGGAGTCCTGGTGCGGCGCTGTGGGTTAATGTGCTGGACTGCAAAGTTGTTTGGAACCGCAAGCTTGGCAGTTCAGGCTCACCAGTTGCTCCTTGAAAACCCTGTACAGGGTCGCTGTGGGTCGGAACCAACTTGACAGCACTTAACAACAACAACATATGTATTTTAGTTGCTTTTTCTAAATGTATCACTGTATTTACAATTTCCAAATTTGGAGCAAGAACTTGAAGGTTTGTTTGGCCCATCACACATTAGATCTATTTAGGTGACAGCAACATTCTGACTAGACCGTTCTGTTAGTTAGACTTTCCAGTTGGGCCAGGAGGCTTTCCCCAGAAGTCACAAGACTGCATGTGCATGGCATCATGAGTAGACCCTTAATCATGAGTTAGGACACAAGGGTAGAGAGAACTAACTCAGGTAACAGCTCCACCAGTGTCTCTGTACTGCTAAGTGACACGAGAACGGTTCCTAGAGAAGACTCATTTCTGGGGTCAGATCATCTCCAAATCAGTGTCTGTTCTACTAGGAAAGAATTCAGAATAACTGATGTCACATATTTTTAGTTGCTCATTGGTACCTTCTTAGTAAATCACAACTTAAATTACCCATAAGTTGGATCACTAGAAAGACAGTCCTTTGTATCTACCCTTTCAACCTCAGGGCCGTGTAAATAGCACCATTAAAGCCATCTTAGCAAAACTTTTCACACCATGTTCCCATAACCCCTTGCTCCAGATCAGGGGATGCCAAACTGTTACCATCAGAGAACTGCAGCCACTGTCAGTTTAATAAAGTGTTGATTCTTTGTGCTTAAAATTTCCTTTGAAAAACAGGTTCTGCAATTGTAATACAAATTTTGATATTTCAGTATTTACTGACACCTGAATACTGAAACAAATTGCTATGGTCTGGAGCAAACTAGAGGTGACATGGAGAGTAAGAGGTTGGGGGAGAAATATCAGTTGTTATTTCAGGCAAGAGTTCTGAAGCATTGTGCTATTATGGAACATTTGTTTTCCCTCTAGTTTTGCAGCATAAGCCAAGTTTCTGTTTTTAAAAAAATGTGGGCAGCCTCACTCAGAGATTCAACCTGAAGGGCCTAAGTAGCCACTCTTGCAGCGAGGGCTGCACTTTTGTTGGAATTCCTTCACATTGAGCCTTAAACGTCTGTTCCATTTGTGCTTGCCTGAGGTTGTCTGACTGTGAGGACTATAGCAGGTGTCTTAGAGGTCACTGTGTCAACAGTGACTCATAAGGCAAAGAAGAGCTGCACTCGGCTACCTTTTGTGTCAGTGGTGGCACAGTTATATTCTTCCCTCAGTCCCCTTGTAGTCTTTTCTTGGTGACCTCCGTCAAGCTTATTACGAAAGGAATGGGCACTTGAGTGGTTTCTTGAGTCCTTCTCTATGCCAGGCACTGTATTAGGTGCTTTGAATCATTACTCCCCCAGTTTTAGGGGAGCAAATGAAGCCTGAGAGAAGCTCAGTAACTCAGGTTTCTCTGAGTTTATTATAAACAATCATAAATAGTAGTAGTTTTCTCTCAGCCCTGCAAACTGTTTTCTCTCCCTTTCCCCTGTGCCATGTAGTATTGGTTCCCCTTTTATCATTCTTCCAGGGGAAGTGGAACCCTAGACAGCCTACCTATAGCTGTTGCGAGAGCCTGAATCCTAACCATGGTATCATTGACTTCTCCCAGGGTCCTATCCTTCTCCCAAAGCTGGAGCGACTCTGGTCGTGTACAAGGACTTGCTGGTGCTGTTTGGTGGGTGGACACGGCCGAGCCCTTATCCCCTACACCAGCCAGAGAGATTCTTCGATGAAATACACACTTACTCACCCTCAAAAAACTGGTAAGCCACAAAATAAGATTTTTTAAACCTGAATATTGCTATTGTTGTTAAGTGCCATCAAGTTGTTTGAATCTCCTACAGCACCGTACCATGACCCCCAAATCTGGAATTGTTGTTGGGTGCCATTGAGTCAGTACCAATTCATATTGACACTATGCACAACAGAACGAAACACTGCCTGGTTCTGTGCCAGCCTCACAATTGTTGCCACACTTGACCACATTGATGCAGCCACTTTGCCAATCCATCTCGCTGTGGGGTTCTTCGTCTTTATCCCTGACTCTCCACCTTACCAAACATGGTATCTTTCTTCAGTGACTGGTGCCTTCTGACAATATGTCCAAAGTATGAAAGATGATGTTTGTCCATCCTGACCTCCAAGGAGCACTCTGGCTGTCTTCTACCAACACAGATCTGTTTGTTTTTTTTGACAACCCGTGGTACTTTCAGTATTCTCCTCCAACACCATAACTCAAATGCATCAATTCTGGAATTGTTGTTGTTGTTGTTAAGTGCCGTTGAGTCAGTTCTGACCCAGAACGACCCTATATAGGGTTTCCAAGGAGCAGCTGGCGAGCTTGAACTGCCGACCTTGCAGTTCAGACGCCTTCTCAGTCTGGCGTATTAACCCACAGCACCACACCAGAACTCCAATTCTGGAATGTTGTTGTTGTTGTTAAGTGCTGTCGAGTTGGTTCTGACCCATGGTGAACCTGTATAGGGTTTCCAAGGAGCAGCTGGTGAGCTTGAACTGCCAACCTTGCAGTTCAAACGGCTTTGCAGTCTGGCACATTAACCCACAGCACCACACCAGGACTCCAGTTCTGGAATTGTTGTTGTCGTTAGGTGGCATTGAGTTGGTACTGACTCATAGAGACCTTATGCACAGCAGAACGAAACACTGCCCGATCCTGGGCCCACCTCACTACTGTTGCCACACTTGAGTCCATCGATGCTGCCACTTGGCCAATCCATCTCGTTGGGGTTCTTCCTCTTTTTCTTTAACCCTCTACAATTCAGTGGATTTTTTTTTTTAAAACCTTTTTTTGTGTTAAGACTTCCTTTGGGAATTTTTATGGAAACCATGAATTCTTTTTCAGAAAAAAAATTAAAATTTAAGGAGTACATATATATGTACTTTTGCCTACAATGTCAGAGACTTTATAGAACCCTTTTAAGACCCATGTAGAACAAATGGAAGAGATTTATTTCTATCCAAGAAAAATGAATGAGCTAGTTGAACAGCCTGGAACTCCTCAGCTTTGGCTGCCAGTTTCCCTGGAATGCTGTAGAGCAGAGGATTTCTCACTCACTGCTGTGTTCCCCAGGCTCTCTCAGTTGTTTTTGTAATACATCTTTTCTACATGACACGACAGCATCCCTTATTCCTGGTAATCAATACTCATCACAGGCTCAGTAATTACTGATGATTAGGACTGGTAAATGGGAGTAATTGCAGGTGATAACGCTTTCAGCCAGCTTCAGCAATTAGGCTTAAGCAGCTCAAAAGTCATATGGCATCATCTCTTGTCAGCTGCCTACCTCCAAGCCATCCACGTTGAGAGCTTGGAAAGTGAAAGGCATAAATATCTGTGCCATTCTCTCTTCCTCCTTTTAGTATACTAACAATCTCTCTACTGAAGGTGATAGGATGTTGTTTTCATTGGATGCCTACTTACTGTTTCCTACTATAAACATGCAAGACCAGAAATAGGTGATACTAATTTCTTGGTTTCCACCTGCTTTGTACAATAGGTGGAACTGCATTGTGACAACCCATGGACCACCTCCCATGGCTGGCCACTCCTCCTGTGTGATAGATGATAAAATGATTGTCTTTGGTGGCTCCTTAGGATCCCGACAAATGTAAGTAGATGTGGTTTGCTCGGTGTCACCTTAAAGTTAGTACTCCTGAGCACGGTTCGCATTACCCTCTGTGTTATTTCACTGTAGCACTCCTTTCTTTGATCCCTTGGTCATACACGAGTTAAGTTGAAGAACTTGCTCCAAAAAACAGAGCTATGTGATATTGCTTCTTGTTTGCTCTGTAGTTCTATTCAGTAGGATCAAATTCTGATGGTGCCCCACCCTGCCTGCTTCTACCTGTGCCTGCAGAGGGCTCACCTACTGAGGAGTAGAGTACTTTTATGTGTTCTGCTTTATTTCCCAGCTCATGCTCTTTGGACTTTAGAAAAGCAGAGAAGAAACACAGACAGGTGGAAATTGTGAGCTCCCCAAATGGGATGGAATTGGAGAAAGTATGAGCAAGAAAACGGTGTCAGGTGTGACATATTTCTGTGAGGCTTCTTCTCCCTCCCTGCTGACTTCTCCACCTCTGGCTATCACTGACCAGGGCAGGCCAGAGGCAGAAGCAGAGCAGTCCATCTGAACCTTAATGTAGGTAATTGGATAGTAGCAGCAGTTCAGTCCTTCCCTCTGTGCTCTGAAAAGGAAGGTGATAAGCTGTCAGCAGTAAAGCTGTTACTGACCACTCATTGTTACCGTATTTGAAAACAGTTGTGCAGGGATATACTCCTGATAAGAGGCCTTAGGACTTGAAGCATTATTCTTAATGGTCTTGTGTGTGAGTGACCGTAAAATAGTGACTGTCATCTCGGAGTCTCTCTTTGCCAATCTTGTCTCTTGAGGGTTAGGAATGTCAATGTGTCCTCAATAAAACTGTAGCATTCATTAGTGTCTGTGAAATTTACTTTTTGTCGGCAGAACCCATGAACTCTTGGATATTGATGGAGTTGCATTTTGAGTCATATTTTCTCTCCCTTGTGGATTCTGCTTTTAAAACACTGTAACTTTACCTGTAGCTAGTTTCGGCTATCACCAAGCAGTCTTTACTTTTGATAATCGTGTGTGGCTCCAAACATGATTCAAATGAGACCTTATGGGTTAATAAAAAGATTAAAGGTTTGAGAGTGTCAAGATGGGTCTTTGGGAAAGGAAAGGAGGAAACATATAAGTAAATGCTAACTATGAACACACTCAGCACTTATTAGGATAAAAGAGCTGAAAAGAAAATTCAAGCATCAACTTGCAATATTAAAGGATTTTGTGAGCAAAATACTGAATGATGCAGGAAACATCAAAAGAAGATGGAACACACTATACCAAAAAGATTTGATTGATGTTCAGCTATTTTAGGGGGTGGTATATGATCAAGAACCAATGGTATTGATGGAAGAAGTCCAAGCTGTACTTAAGATGTTGGAGAAAAACAAGGCTCCAGGAACTCACCGAATACAAATTGAAATGTTTCAACAAATTGATGCAGCACTAGATGCACTCACAAGTCTATATATACTAGGAAATTTGGAAAACAGCTATCTGTCCAATTGACTGGAAGAGATCCATATTTGTGCCCATTCCAAAGAAAGGTGACTCCACAGAGTGCAGAAATTATCAAACAATATCATTAATGTCACATGCAGTAAAATTTTGCTGAAGGTGATTAAACAGTTACAGCAGTACATCAACAGGGAACTGCCAGCAATGCAAGTTGGGATTCACAAGAGGACATGGAGTGAGAGATTATCATTACTGATGTCAAGTGGATCTTGGCTAAAAGCAGAGAATACTAGATATTTACTGTGTCTTATTGACTTGGCTGTGTGGATCATATAGCAAACTGTGGATAAATTATGAAGAATGGGATTTCAGAACATCACTTGTGCTCTTGAGGAACCTGTACATAGACCAAGAGGCAGTCATTTGAACAGAACAAAGGGATACCAAATGGCTTATGATCAGGAAAGGTGTTTGTCAGGGTTATATCCCTTTCCCATATTTATTCATTCTGTATGCTGACATGTAATCTGAGAAGTTGGACTATATGAAGAAGAACGCAGCATCAGAGTTAGAAGACTCGTTAACAGTCTCATATGCAACTGACACAACCTTGCTTGCTGAAAGCAAAGAAGACTTAGATTAGTTGCTGATGAAGAGCAAAGCCTTCAGTATGGATTACAACTCAATGTAAAGAAAACAAAAATCTTCACAACTAGACCAATAAACAACATCATGATAAATGGAAAAAAGATTGAAATTATCAAAGACTTCATTTTCCTTGTGTCCTCAATAAATGCTCATGGAAGTAGCAGTTAGGAAATCAAATGACATTGCTTTGGGGACATCTGCCATAAAAGACCTCTTTAATGTGTTAAAGAACAAAGATGTCACTTTGGGGACTGAGGTTCATCTGATCCAAGTCCTGGTATTTTCAATCACTTCATAAGCATGTAAAAGCCAGGCAATGAATAAGGAAGACTAAAGAATTGATGCATTTGAAGTATGATGTCAGTAACCTTGGAGTGCCAGAAGAATAAGCAAGTCTGACTTAGAAGGGCAGCCGGAGTGCTCCTTAGAAGCAAGCATGGTGAGACTTTGTCTCTTGTATTTTGAATATGTTAGCAGAAGGGACCGAACCGGTCCCTAGTAAAGGACATCAGGCTTGGTAAAGGAGAAAGTCAGTGAAAAAAAAAGAAGGACCCCACAATGAGCTGGATTGATACAGTGGCTGCAATACTGGACTCAGACGTTACAGTAGTCATGCAGATGGCACAGGACTGGACAGTGTTTTGCCCTATTGTGCATAGGGTTGTGCTATGACTCGGCACCTAACAGCAACAACAATAGGAGTACAGCACCTTGCTGGGATTCTTTATCAATATAATCTTATTAGACTAGTAGCTTGTCTTAGTTCTCCAGTGCTGCTGTGACAGAAAAGACTTTTATTCTTTCATAGTTTAAGAGGCTAGAAGTGTGAGTTTAGGGCTCTTGCTCTAAGGAAAGCTTTTCCGTCTCTGTCAACTCTGGAGGAAGCTCTTTGTCTCCTTCCACCATCTGGGATCCTGGAGGTCTTTGGAGATTTCCATGTGTCTTCACATCAGTCTTGCCTTGGATCTAGCGGTTTCTCAGCACGGGGACCCTGGGTCCAAAGGACACACTTCACTTTCAGTTCTTCCTTCTTAGTGGTAGCCAGGTCCTCCTCTGCTTGATTCTCTGTTCTTTTGTCTCTGATAAGATAAAGGGTGTGACTTGATAGTTGAGGAAGAAGTCATGCTCTCTTATAAGGCTGTGACTCTAGATGCAACCCACCCTTACTTACCCTGTCTCATTAATACAGAGAAGTTAGGATTTATAACACATTTCACAAAATGGAAGCTAATTACATTAGATCACAAAAGGACCCCAGCCAATTTGATACATATTTGGCAGGGGGGCAGGGGCACAATTCATTCCATGACACCAACTTCTCAGAACAGTAGTAGTATTTCATTTTATAATAAAGGAAACCAGAGTTAGATCAAATTAAGTAACTTGCTCAAGGTTGCATAGTTGGGATTCCACAACAGTCTTTCTGGTTTGGAGGCCCTGAACTCTGCCAATACCGTGGACAGAAGCCTCCTGTGTGAAAGTAAAACTGGTGCCAGTTTACCAGCTAGCCTCAGGCCTGTGGAACTCTAATATTATTGTGGTCCCTGAGAGCGCCCACCTTCTTCATCCTATGTCCTTATTTCACAGGAGCAACGATGTCTGGGTCCTGGACCTTGAGCAGTGGGCGTGGTCCAAGCCGAACATCTCCGGCCCCAGCCCTCATCCTAGAGGTGGCCAATCTCAGGTGCTCAGGGATTAGAATAGCTCTTCAGCAAACACTCTAGCATATTTCAGTTAAGATGGGAGAGGGGGAAGAAGACGGGGCCAGATGTGATGCTAATATGCACTAAACCACAAAGAATTTATCATTGTTTTTTTCTAGTGTTTATTTTCCATAATCTAATGGGTTGTATTTATTTATAGTGGGTTTATATTATGCCTTGCCCCAAAGCATTTACTTTCCTATTTCATTCCTCAAATGGATCCTGCATTTTATGTGTTTGGCACTCTTATGTTAATATTTGATCAACAAACCATTTATCCGTTCCAGTGAATCATCAGTATTTTGTTCCCAGGGATGAGAATTCACAGGGCTTGGGGAAAGTGGAGAATGTAGCTTATGATTGGGAGAATGCTCTCATTTGGGAACTGGACAGGCTGTCTTCATGTACCACTGAAGCATAGGACGTCCGATACCATTGTATGTCTTTGTAGGTTTATTTTAAACTTCTTCCCCTTCCCAGATTGTCATAGATGATGCAACTATCTTAATCCTTGGAGGGTGTGGCGGTCCCAATGCTGTGAGTATTACTTGTGTGACATTCTTAGCAAATGTTAAGTGTTTAAAACTTGTTCTATTTCATTTTGTCTGCGTAACAAAGACAATTTTGTGGCTTTTTGGTTGTTTTTTTTTTTCATTTGGAGAATGCTTTTTCTACCTTGCATAGGTAGCCTTTCATTTTTTGGCCTTTTCCTCCAATTTTTTTGGGGGGAGTATGGAGATGCTTTTGATTGGAGGCATTCATCTCTTGAGTATTTGTATCTGTAATCTTCCCATCCTTATTTTCTCTTTATGCTGTGAGGTTTGCTGCTATTACTTTTTCAAGAAGATAGAACAGAAAAGCAAGTTGAGGACTCTTAAGTGTTCACATGGAGTTTATTTAATAATGCAGATTCAGAAAGTTTTGGTCTTCTATTATCTACCCTCTCCCCCAGCCTCAAATACTCAACACACACAAAACCATAGGCAAGATTCATAACCACTTAAATGAATGATTAATGGATACCAGGCCAGTAGTAAGATGAGGGAATGAAAGCATGAATTAATGTATGTATAACTGAATGAAGAACCAAGGGTTTTGTTCTTCTTTCTGAAGAGCCTAAACACTTTCTAGACCAGACAGTGAAGCTTTTGAGATGCTAGCTCTCTGGGTATATTTGTAATATGTTCTGCATGTGAGTCCCACTGTTGGTCTTTCTCTTACAGCTGTTCAAGGATGCATGGCTGCTGCACATGCACTCTGGTCCCTGGGCCTGGCAGCCACTCAAAGTAGAAAATGAAGATCACGGGGCCCCAGAACTGTGGTGCCACCCAGCTTGCCGGGTAAGCACCCAGCAGGAAATGAAGTCTTAGCAATTTAATGTGTCAGGTTAGGAAGGAAATTTGTACAAAAATAGAAAACACCTCAGTGTCATATAAGTTGTTGTTGTTAGTTGACGCCAAGTCAGTTCTGACTCATAGTGACCCTATGCACAACAGAATGAAACACTGCCCAGTCCTGGGCCAACCTTATCTGGAGCCCACTGCTGCTGCCACTGTGCCAGTCCATCAGGTTGGGGGGTTTTCTTCTTTTCTGCTTACCCTCCACTTTTACCAAGCATGATGTCTTTCTCCAGGGACTGCTCCCTGCTGGTAGGTAACGTGTCCAAAGTATGAGAGATGAAGTCTCGCCATCCTGGCTTCTAAGGAACACTCTGGCTGTATTTCTTCCAAAACAAATTTGTTTGTTCTTTTGGCAGTACATGATACTTTTAATATTCTTCTCCAGCACCATAACTCAAATGCATCAATTCTTCTATGGTCTTCTTTATTCATTGTCTAACTTTCACATGCATATGAGGCTATTGAAAATACCATGGCTTGAGTCAGGTGCACCTTAGTTCTCAAACTGATACCTTTGCTCTTGGATGTTTGAAAGAGGTCTTGTTCAGCAGATTTACCAAATGTAATATGATGTTTGACTTCGTGACTGCTGATAAGTGTTGATGATGGATCCAAGCAAAGTCTTTGACAACTTCAATCTTTTCTCCATTTATCGTTATGTCATTTACTGGTGCACTTGTGAGAATTTTTGTTTTCTTTACCTTGATATGCAATCCATACCAAAGGCTGTGGTCTTTGATCTTCATTAGTTCATATTTTAAGTCCTGTTCACTTTCAGCAAGCAATGTTGTATCATCTGCATATCGCAGGTCATTAATGAGTTTTCCTGCAGTCCTGATGCCGCATTCTTCTTCATAATCCAGTTTCTTGGATTAATCGCTCAACATACAGATTGAGTAAGTACAGTGAAAGAATACAGTCCTGGTGCACACCTTCCCTAATTTTTTTATTTTTTTACCTATTAAATCTTTAATAATAATCTCATTTAAAAGTACAGTGTCATTACAAAAATGTCATTGTATGAACAAGATATTACCATGCTTCAGTTCTTTTGAAGTTTGCAGAGCTTAACCATAAAGATGGACAGCTCTCCCACTCTCTCTACAGCATCATTGACACTGTTGGTGGCACTGGGGGTGAATGTGCTGGACTGCAGGGTCAGTTTGAACTACAAGGTTGGTAGTTCAAGCTCACCAGTCACTCCTCGGAAACCCTATACAGGGTCGCTATGGGTCAGAACTGACTCAGCAGCACTTCACAATAACAACAACTTGTATTCCATAGCCAGTCATTAAAAAATTATTTACTGAGTACCTAGTCACCAACTGCTCCTTAAAACCATATAGAGGGTCGCTATGAGTCCGTCAGAACTGAATAGTCAGCACTTAACAAAAATAGCTGTTTGAGTTCTCAAAAGGTAAAGCTAAATTTTTAAAACAGATTGTGTCTTATTGTTCTATCCTTAGTACATAAGTTACAGAAGGCACTTCCATAGGTATTTAGCATTAATGGTAGTAGAGTATTCCAGTGAACTCTTTTTCAGGTCCAGAAGCAGGTTCTGAAGGGAAGGCTAGATACGGACGTTGTAGTTCTCTTGTATGGAGCGATTGGGAACTCTGCAGAGAATCCCCACCCACAGATGAGCTCTTTACTGACAAGAACATTATGTCCTGAAAGTACTTATCAGCGGGTCTGACTAGTAACTATAAGAATGGAGCTGTTTTAAAAACTTGAGATAATTTTTTTAAAAAGACTTTTATCACTCAGCAAATAAAATATTTTCCAAACATGTATTTTCTACATAATCATTGTGAAATATGGCTATCAGTGTCAAAATATTTTCTTCACTTACTTCACTTCATATCCTCATTACCAGTTTTTCTTCATTTCTCCTTTCCAAATGTTGTATGCCACACTTGAAATAATGCAGAATTCTTAAATACCATGGTAAAGGACTTAAACATTCACCCACAGCTACCTATAGGATGTAATTTTGGTTCCACTTGTAACATTCTGTTTTGGTCCTAGTGGTTTTTTCATAGTCACCCTTTGATAATTTTGGGGAAACAGTGTCACAACTCAAACATTGTTGCATCTTGAAGACTCTTCCTGCGCCGCTGCCTGGCTAAATTGCAGTCTCTACACTGTGCTCTCCTTGTTCACAGCAGCGCCAAAATGCCCTTACCTGATTTTAAACCATTCAGTATCCTCTTGGTCTGTTCAAACAGCTGCTTTTTGGTCTATGTACAGTGTCCTCCTGAGCACAATCAAGTGTTCTGGAATATCCATTCTTCGCTATGTTATCCATAGTCTTTGCATAGTTAATAAAGTACAAGTAAACATCTTTATGGTATTCTTTGCTTTCAGCCAAGATCTGTCTGTCCACATCCTCTTTTTAATCTTGCTTGAGTGTTTGGCAGTTCCCTGTGGATGTACTGTTGCAGCTGTTTTTGAATTATCTTCAGCAAAATTTTACTTGAATGTCATATTAATATATTGTTTGGTTGTTTCTGCTCTCCGTTGGGTCATCTTTCTTTGGAATGGACACAGATTTGGATCTCTTCCAGTAAGGCTGACCAGGTAGCTGTCTTCCAAATTTCTTTGTGTAGATGAGTGAGCACCTCCAGTGTTTTCATCAGTTTGTTGAAAGATTTAAGTTTGTATTCTGTCCATTGTATTCTGCACCTTCAGGTGCACCTTGAACTTCTTTCTTCAGTACTATTAGTTCTTGGTCACATGTTGCTTCCTGAAATGACAGAACATCAACCATTTGTTTTTTGTACAGTGACTATGAGTATTCCTTCCATCTTTTTCTGATGCTTTCTGCATCATTCAATATTTTGCCCATGGAATCTTCCAATATTGCAACCTAAGGCTTGAATTTTTTCTTCACTTCTTTCAGCTTGAAAAATGCTGAGTTTGTTCGTCCCTTTTAGTTTTCTAACTCCAGGTCTTTGCACATTTCATTATAATCTTTGGCTTTGTTTTCTCAAGCTGCCCTTTGAAATTTTCTATTCAGCTTTTATATTTCCTCATTTCTTCCCTTCGCTTTTGCATGTCTGTATTGGAGAGCAAATTTCAGGGAGTCTCTTCTGACATCCATTTTGGTCTTTCTCTCCTATCTTTTTCTTTCTTTTCTTCTTTTTTATTTTCTGCTTTCTTAATGTATGATGTTCTTGATGTCATCCCACAAGTCATCTTGTCTTTGGTCATCAGTGTCTAATGCATCAAATTTATTCAAGGGGAACATGTTCAAGGTCACATTTTGGTTCTTATGGATTTGCTTAAATTTTCTTTAGCTTCAGTCTGAACTTGCATATGAGCCATTGATGGTCTGTTCCACAGTCTGCCCTTGGCTTTGTTTTAGCTAATGATAGTGATCTCTTCCATCTGAATTTAGAGACCATCTCAATAAACAGATTTGATGCATTAGACAGGTGTAGTTAACTTGATTCTTGTGTATCCCATCTGGTGAGGTCCATGTGTATAGTCGCCTTTTATGTTGTTTAAAAAGAATATTTGCAATTAATAAGTCTTGCAGAATTCTTTCATGCGACCTCCAGTATCATTTCTATTTTCCAACCACTGATCCTTCCTCTTTGGTTCTAACCTTCATATTCTAGTCACTGGTAATTATCAATACATCTTGATTATATGTCTAATCAATTTTTTTAAATTTGGTAGAATTTTTCAGTTTCATATCACTGGATTCAGTGGTTGATGCTTAAAATTTGAATAATAGTGATATTAACTGGTCTTCCTTTTAGGTAGATAGATATAATCCTAATCACAGCCAGCATTGTTCTTCCAGCTAGATCTTGAAGTGTGTTTATGACAATAAATGCTATGCCATTCCTCTTAAATTTATAGTGAACCATATGATTGTCTGATTCAAAATGACCAATACCAGTCTGGCATCCTGGTGTAGCACTGTAGGATAAGCACAACACTACTTACCACAAGGTCAGCAGTTCAAACTCACCATCTGCTCCTTGGAAATCCTATACAGGGTTACTGTGAGTCAGAACCAACTTGACAGCATGTAACAACAATGCCAATCCATTTTATCTCACTGATGTCTAGTATATCAATCGTTACATGTTCCATTTTTGACACCTTCTTCATACTTCCCACATTCCATGTTCTGATTATTAATGGGCCCCATCAGCAAATGAAGGTCCTGAAAACTTTACCCCATTTGCGTCATCATGGTGAACTCTACTTTGAGACTCTTCCTCAGTCATATTTTAGGGCCTTCCAACCTGAGGGGCTCATCTTACAGCACTATATCTGACAGTGTTCCACTGCTATATGTAAGGTTTCCAGTGGCTAAACATTCAGAAGTAGTCCATCTTTCCTTGTTCTTTCCTAGTCTGTCTTAGGTCATAGGTGACCTGCTGGTATTTAAAAAATACCTGTGTCATAGCTTCCAACATCACAACAACACAGCCACCACAGTACAATAACTGACAGATAAATAATGGGGTGTCATGTAAGAGATGGACACACGCCATAGCTTCTTAGGCATTTCTCTAATAAGAGCTCGACCAGATGACTTATGTGGGTCCCACTCATCCTTTAAGTCCCACCTGCAAGCATCTCTATGTCTGTTAGACTTTCTCAAGTCCCTTAAATTCTACACTAAATTCTATACCTATTCTTCAGATCTGACGCTAATGATAACAGTACATGTCACAATGAAGCAATTAATTGTTTTCATGTCTGCCTCCCCTTCTAGCCTAATTTTTATCTCTCTATCTCAGGTGCCTACAGAATGGTTGTCATGTTACAGATGTTTATTGTAAAGGTTTGGTGATTGAATGAGTGATCAAAATTGTACAAAAATCCCTGAGCACATATTTTGTGTCTTTCAGGTGGGGCAGTGTGTAGTGGTCTTCAGCCAAGCCCCTAGTGGAAGAGCACCACTGAGCCCCAGTTTGAACTCTCGCCCATCACCCATCAGTGCTACTCCTCCTGCCCTGCTCCCCGAAGCCCGAGAGTACCGTTCTCAGTCTCCAGTACGGGGTATGGATGAAGCTCCTTGTGTGAACGGTCGCTGGGGGACACTGAGGCCCAGGGCTCAGAGGCAGACCCCCTCAGGTTCCCGGGAAGGGAGTCTTTCCCCAGCCAGAGGAGATGGCTCTCCCATCCTCAATGGCGGAAGTTTGTCTCCAGGAACAGCAGCTGCAGGTGGATCTTCTTTGGACAGCCCTGTACAAGCTGTATCTCCAAGCACTCCATCTGCTGCTGAAGGATATGACCTAAAACTGGGCCTTTCTCTGGTCTCCCGACGAGGATCACTGCCAGATCAGAAAGATCTGAGGTTAGGATCCATAGATCTGAATTGGGATCTCAAACCTTCTTCCAGTAGCAATCACATGGATGGTGTGGACAGCAGGACAGTTGGGGGAAGTGTGAGACAGCCTCCTGAGCAGACGAATGGTGTGCACACCCCACCCCATGTGGCCAGTGCTCTTGCTGGGGCTGTCTCCCCTGGTGCCCTGCGTCGGAGCCTGGAAGCCATCAAAGCTATGTCATCCAAAGGCCCCTCTGCTTCTGCAGCAATGAGTCCTCCTTTGGGGTCTTCTCCAGGTTCCCCTGGGAGCCAGAGCAGTGCAGAGACCGTGCCCATCCCCCGCCCAGGGCCTGCTCAAGGGGATGGGCATTCCTTACCCCCCATTGCCCGACGACTGGGCCACCACCCTCCACAGTCCCTAAATGTTGGCAAACCCCTGTACCAGAGTATGAACTGCAAGCCCATGCAGATGTACGTGCTGGACATTAAAGACACCAAGGAGAAGGGACGGGTCAAATGGAAAGTATTTAATAGCAGCTCTGTGGTGGGACCGCCTGAAACCAGCCTGCATACAGTGGTACAAGGCAGGGGGGAACTCATCATATTCGGAGGGCTCATGGACAAGAAACAGAATGTGAAATACTATCCAAAAACAAACGCCTTGTATTTTGTGCGAGCAAAGAGATAATATGTTCTAAACCCCTTCCCTTTCTGTGGCTTTTAATTTGAAATTTTCCAGTGTGCAAGCATTTGGACTGAGAATTGGGAAAACAACAAAATTATTCCCATAAACCAAAACCCCAAATCCCAACCTAACTCACTTCAGGTTGGGATCAAATCTCCATTAAGAAGAAAATTATATATAAGTGTGTGTGTGTGTATATATATATATAATTTATATATATATACTCTGTTTACAGAAGGGGAGAGCTCTCCGCCCTGGTTCAGATACGGTTGTTGCTGTGCTTTAGCAGAGGCTGTGCCGCCTTTTTCTACTTTGCTGGTAACTAGACCAAGAATTTCGGGAACAGACTAACATCAGTAACTTTCCAAAAGAAATGAAGTGTCCCCTGTAAATCTTTACGTGGCCTTTTTGGAATTAGAGAAAGCAAGGGCATGTGTAAGGTAGAACAGTGGAGGTTTCCAGATTTACATGCTTCTGGTTCTTGCAGGGGCAGCGCAACCTTGAAAGACTGTCCTTCCCCTTCTCTGAAAATCAGAGGACCTGAGGTAATGCCCTTTAGACATCATTCTGCCCTTTAGGACCAAGGAAAGGTACCTGAATTTGGTTCCACATGTGTGTGCCAGGATCATGGGGAACCAGTGTTGATTCATCTTACACCTGTCTGTCTAGTCCATTGGTCTTTTGAGTGCTTCCTACATGTCTCAGAAAACATTTGGTGTCTGATTGTGGAATTTTCTGACAATCATTTTGAGTTGCAAATTGCCAAAAACCACATTTGTTCTCCCTTTTTGTTCCTGAAAACTCAGTCCTTGGAGGCTGCCTTTTCCAGATGTAGGCTTTTTCTTTTCTTTTTTTTAAATCTATATACTTTTTAAGCCCTAAAACTTTCCTCACTTTCTGTTTCTTTTACAAAAACCCAGGTGCGCAGAGAAATAAAACACTTTTTGGGAAGGTTTCTGGAACTCTTTTCCTGTGAGGGAGCAGTAGGGAATTCTAAGATGCCAGTATCATGAGAGATCCTTAGAGCAGCAAGAAGATACCAGTGCTTCCCTATGAACCTCTTTTTACTTCCAAAACACATTAGGCACACCCACACATCTGTATCCATATTTGTATAATGTGGAAATTGATCCTGGAAGGGAATCCTGAGAACAGTTTCTAGAAGCATCTATTTTTCCCTTGCGGTGCACATGTATTTTCTGCTTGGTTCTTGCATCAGTGATTGGCCTGAGTATCATGTACTTGGTCATGACAAGTGGTTGACTTCGAGAGCAGCCCCATACTTTGTGCTTGTTCATGTGTCACCAAAATAGGGCTTGGCTTTTTCACTTTCTCTTCATTCAGAGAGAAGCTGTGTCCAAGTAGAGCATTTCTTTGCGTGATCCACATCCTGAACATAGGAAACATCAGTATATTTCTAACGGCACCACTTACTTGTGGCTTTTTGGTGATTTCTAATCAGTGGAAAGAGGATTTTTATTTTGCCTTTAGAATTTAAATTTAAATCTTGAAACATGGCATTTCCCACCTCCAGCATCACCTCCTTTTTTGTTGTTGGTATTTCCTGAACACAAGCCCCGCTTCAGCTGGCCCTGGGTCCTGGCTCTCGGCCTGCACTTGGCATTGTCTGAGAAATGTGTTTTCTCTTGTGACATCATGTTGAATCCTTTTCCTGAACATTGCTTTTTACAGTGGGAAAATCCCCAGGTAAGGGCCAGCTCCCAGGGAGGGGTATGTCCCATATGTCTCCTTGTGCTTACTTACTGTGGTGTCCAGCTGCTCGGAGCTCAGCACTCAGCTCTCCAGACTCCCTACTCTGGGAATGTTGTTCCCAGTCCTTCCTTGGCAACGACTGTTAGATCATTTGGAGTCCTTAGTCACCAGAGTAATCTAGCCCAGAAGATTAGCAGTTTAGACATTACTGCTGTTCTGAACCTATGGCATTGCATTTGTTCATGGGCAATGCCTATACACTCAATCCTATTTAATTATAAAGTATTTGGAAGTTCAAAATCTCAACTTTGTAATCTTTCCCTTTCTCCTGTGGCCTTCCTAAGCCAGCTGTTAGCCTGGTCTACTTTCCCCAAGTAGACACTAAGCTGATGATTCTCTTAGAAAGTAGCCCGATTCCACTAAACTCTCTGGCATCCCAGTATTACCCACACCACTGGGAACTAGACTGCCCGTTTACAGCTCTTTAAGCAAACTGCCTCGTCTGCACCACGTGGTGCTGGTCTTGGTGGCTCCTAGGTGTATATCTTGGGAGAACTTGGCGCAGCCCAGGTGATTGTCTCCTCAGGCCCTTGGGAGGCTGCATGTGCAGTGGGACTTCAGATGTCTCAACTGAGGTGAGCTCTCCACAAGGCTCTGAATGCTTTGTTAGCTCAGATTTCACAACAACTCCATTTGTGACGTGACACCGATTTTGTCTTAAAAGTTGCTGAGAAAAATGAGACGAAATATTTTTTTTACACCCTCAGGAGCACCAAAAGCAAATATTTATCAGTATTTAAGTATTTAAAATAAATTTTGTTTCTACTTGAAGCTTTAACCCCCTTCCATTCCTGCAAGTGTGCCTTTGAAGAGCCCCCACGTGGTATTGACTTCACCAACCGCCTTGACCTCCTGTGTGAACTGTCGTCTCTTCCCACCCTGCTGGACAAGCTCCCTCTTCTCTCATGTACAGCAGAGAGGGCTCTGTAGGTTGGTTACCTATTGCTACCCTTCTTCCACACTTGGGCGGTGGGCTCCACAATCCCACCCTTATCCCCGCATTTTGGGAGCACAAATTAGGTGTTGAAACAAAATTAAATTTAGTTTTAAGACAATACTGGGCTCCTCCTAGCCAAATCTACAGACTGATTTGAGTTTGATTGAATTTTATAGCAAGTGCTAAAACCGTGATCTGACCTAGGAATTGCTTTGGAACCCTTTCTTCAAAAGGAGAGAAAGAAGAAAGAAAACGGACACCACCTTGCCTGGATCGTTGAGGACAGAAAGCCGCCAGACAGTGGCTTCTGTTTGGCTTCTTTCCGTCTCCTGGCATGGTGATACGCTCCGCTGTGCGGTACTTGTGGTTTTTTATAAGCGCGCTGGTCACTGGGGAGGATCTGAATGTGCGCAAGGGACAAGGAAGCCAGGCTTGTAGTCCTGCATCCAGGCAGCCTCCCCATGTTCTGCATGGTCACCAGGAAGTGGCCCCCCTCTCACCAGATTCACTGTCTAATGAGAGAAACCTCGGTGCCCTTTCTACACGCTCTGCTCCCCTCCCACCAACCAGGCTTTGTGCCAGTGCCCACCCACTGTGCCCTTGCCAAGCTGGTGCTGTGAGTGATGTTCCCAGACAGCTCAGGGGTTCCAGGTGGCCATTTTAGGCACATAACAGTGTAGGAATGAAAAGTGGATTTCATTGATATTTAAATCTCTGTCGACTTCATTTTTTGTTAATGTTTTCCCCTGAGGACTTTTTAGCAATTTAACAAATAAAACAAAATGGACAGAATTGCCTTAACTGTCTTATTAGTGGGCTTGCACATCTCTGCCCCGAGCTCAGGGCTGTGCCTCACATCATCCCACCTCCAGGGAACTGGTAGGGGTGGCTTTGGGCACCCACTGGTCCAGGCAGGACAGGAGGTATCCCTTCAAAACCATACAGACAGGCTTCTAGTACCACCCCACAGCACTTGGTCTTGCTTCTCTGGGCAATTTTACCCTAAGCTCTCAGTGACCATTTCCACCCCTCCTCCCTACAAAATTATCAAAGACAGAGCAATCTAGCTGGACTGAGGTAATGAGTTCCCCATGATGGGATGTGTTCAAGCAGAGACATTACACAGAAGGTAAAAAAATGGAACCTACATGCCCTTTCCATTTTTAAGATGTAGTTCCCTGGACTCAGAGGGGACTTGCTGGAGAAATCGTAGGTCAGGGACATGGGCACAGGCTTTGGACCAGGACAGGCCCAGAATCAAAAAGCTGACTTTGTTTTGTAAAACATGGGGTCCCCTAAGTCACAAATCAGCAACAAAAACACTGGCTAGGTCACCAAGCCAGGTCAAGGCATTTATCTACCCCCACCACCCCTACCCCCACATCACCCCTACCCCACCCCCAGCCTCACTTTTATCTGTAAATTCCATAATGCTAGCCTCAAGTTAGCTGGTACCAGTCAAGAACTGTTCATTGGCTGGATGGCTGTGATTCCCTGGAAGGCCATCTGAGGGCGCCCTGAGAAAGGCTTTGAGTCCACCTGGGTGTTCTGAGCTGGAAACCAGATAGGCAGGAGAGAAGTGCTTGTCCAATCCTTCCCTGCTTCTGTCAGTAAATCTTGAGTGGGGAGCCCCCTAGGCAGAACCTGCGCTGCCCCAGCCCCCCAGCTGTGTGAAAGATAGTGTCCCCAAGGACTAGGCTCTGAGCCCAGGCCAAGCTGCTGCACACAGCCAAGCTGCTGCCTTAAGTAAATGCCTGAGAGGTCTGGCAGAGGGAACCTGCCTGTCTGCCTGCCACTACAGGAAAAGAGGGCAAAGCTGGGCCTCACCAGCAGGAAATTCTTCTGGAGGTTAACCAGGGAGTAGTCACATTGGGCTGAACAATGATGCCAAGCCTTGAGCTTCCGAGGTCACAAGGTACCATCCAGGTATAACTAAAATAATAAAAGAGGATGCCGTCTTCAGTCAGCACAGCAGCTGGAGGCAGGATGGTTGGTCAGGAGGCCAGAGAGCTAAGAAGTTGGTCTTCCTGCCCAGTCCTTACCCTGTTAACCTGAGGCACGGCAGAAGAGGATAGATGAGGCTCTGGGGATCAGTCATGTGATATTAGCAGGTCCACAGGCCTGAGAGACTGAAAAGGTAGATTCTCCTATGCCCAGAAAGGGAGCAGAGGGCCTGTTTGGGGGACTGAGAACAATGTAGAATTTGATGACCAGAGATCCTGTGGGGATCTCCATACCCTCAGATGTAGCAGAGAAAGGCCCACAATCTGACTCCCTGATGGAGGGAAAGAACACCTTTGAGGTCAGCATGGAGACAGAGGTATGAGGAGAGGGTTACCTCCCTGGAGCATGAGAACTGAGAAGACTTAAGGAAACGGGGTACTTAAGGAATGGGTGCCCGGGCTGGCCACGCTTCCCTGGCATTTGGGTAAGCCTCCACCCCTTACTGAACATGAACCTCAGGAGCAGGGGCCGGAGAGGGAAAGCAACAACCTTGGAGAGATTTTGTTGTTAAAATGTAGAGTGAGAAATGGCTGAATATAAATTTACCAGCAAATTACTGGATTAAAATGTC